AGTTCATTTCGGGGCACCCCTCTCAAGGATCGTGGCCCTGGCCCTACAGGGAGCTCCACAGAAGGTTCATTTCAGCACACCCCTCTCGAGGATCGTGGTCGTGGCCCCACAGGGAGCTCCACCGAAGGTTCATTTCGGCACACCCCTCTCGAGGATCGTGGCCCTGGCCTCACAGGGGGGTCCTCTGAAGTTTCATTTCGGCACAACCCTCAAGGAGGATCGTGGCCCTGGCCCCTGGCCCTACAGGGGGCTCCACCGAATCGTCATTTCGGCGCACCCCTCTCGAGGATCGTGGCCTTGGCCCTGCAGGGAGCTCCACCGAAGGTTCATTTCGGCACACCTCTCTCGAAGATCGCGGCCCTGGCCGCACAGGGAGCTCTACAAAAGGTGCATTTCGGCACACCACTCCTGAGGATCGTGGCCCTGGCCGCAGGGAGCTCCACACCCCTCTCGAGGATATTGGCCCTGGCCCCACAAGGTGCTTCACCAATGTTTCATTTCAGCACACCCCTCTCGAGGATCGTGGCCTTCGCTTCACAGGGAGCTCCACCGAAGGTTCATTTCGGCACACCCCTCTCAAGGATCGTGGCCCTGGCCCCATAGGGAGCAATCCCCATACGATTCCTATAGGATCCGACAGGGTCGCATGGGATTCCTATACAATCCCTATACGATTCCTTTAGGATCCTACAGGGTCGCATGGGATTTCTATAGAGTCCCTACAGCAACCGATAGGATCCCTAATCGGATCTCATAGAATCGCATCGAATCCTTATAGGATTCCTATAGGATCCTACAGGATCGCATGGATTTCCCATACAATCCCTATAGGATCCCTATAGGATCCCATAGGATCGCATGGGATTCCTATACAATCTCTATACGATTCTTACAGGATCCGACAGGGTCGCATGGGAGTCCCATACGATCCCCATACGAGTCCTATAGCATCCTACAGAATCGCAGGGGATCCCTGAAGAATCCCCACAGGATCCTAGAGGACCCCTATCGGATCCTATAGGGTCGCATCGGGTCCCTATTGGATCCCCAGAAGATCCCTATAGGATCCCCATCGGTTTCCTATAGGATAGGAATTTATAGTATAGGATCATATAGGAGCCGATAGATTCCGGAGCTTCGCTGGTGCAGAGATGGAAACATTGCATAAAAGATGGGTCACACCTTTAAGCAAGCAAAGTTACAGCCGAGCGAGGAATGGAGCCCGAGGTTGTTGGTTGCTGGTTGCCGGGGGGGGTTGCTTACCCCTGGGCAGCAAGGTCACGGGTTGTCTGTTAAGGATAAGCGTTGGCCAGGTTTTCCCGGTGAACGGCCAACAAGAGCACGTGTCAACCTTGTTGTTGTTGTTGTTGTTGTTGTTGTTGTTGTTGTTGTTGTTGTTGTTGTTGTTGTAGAACTCTCACCACTGAAGAATAATTATTGCTGATCCCCTCCTCTGGTGACCATTGTGTTTTTTGAATTGAAGTGCTTCCCCTGGGGTTCGCACCCTTCTGTTAATCAGGGAACGTCACGGGGCTCAAATTGGGCCCCTGGCCCCTGGTTTACAATAACATCGGTTCTCGCCTTGTACTTCCTCACAGTTTATTTCCAACTCGCTCTCTCGCGCAGGATTTCCTCACAATTCAAGTGCGCATCGCGTTCTCGCGTGGGACTTCCTCGCAAATTATTCAGACGATGCGCCCTCGGCGCTCAGGAATCTCGCTCTCGCTTTTACATTTCTCACGATTTACTTGGGAGTCGCGCCATCGCTCGAGACTTCTTCGCGATTTATGCAGGACCCACGCTTCAGCAACCCGCCTGCTCGACCTGGTCGCCTGGGCCCGCCTTCCCGACCTGCGCGCCATGGGTCTGGCCCCCCGATCTGCCCTTCTGGTTCTTTTCTGCTCCTTGCCCCCCTCCTGCTAATTTCTCTCGTGCTCCATTCTTCTCCCTCCCCCTTCCACCCGTCCTCTCTTCCTTGTTTTAGGGGCTGCAGTAAATGCGCGTGGCAGGTAAGGAAGATATGCCCCAAAGGGGGTGCGATCGAAGACGACGAGGGCGGGTACCGCGGGTTTGGGATATACGATTGGTTGGTACATGAGCAAATCGGAGCGAACAGTCTTAAAATTATAGTTGTTGTTGTCCTTGTTGAATATTCACTTCTAGACAATACTGGCAGGACACGGTTCCGCGCGCTCTCGCCTCGACGCCGGCTCCATTTTCTCTCAAAGCGAGGCTCCCGCTCGAACGCCGGCTTGATTGTAAATGTGTGTTGTTGCAGGCCCGGCTACGACGACAACGGCTCCGATTCGATATTTCCTCACAATTTACCCCGAGACATTCTGGCCAGAGAGGACCCCGAACTCAGGAACGGCGCTCTCGCCTGAGACTTCTTTGCAGTTCAGTCAAGTTGGCGGAGGTGTAGCCGCGACGACAAGTGCTCCTGCTCGATACTTCCTTACAATATACCCCGAGACACCCTTGCCAAAGAGGCCCCCGAATTCACGAACGGCGCTCTCGCTCGAGAGTTTCTCGTAATTCAGGCAAGTTGGTGGAGGCCCAGACACGGCGACAAGGGTTCCCGCTCGATATTTCTCAAGCTGTAGTCCGAGAGTCCTGGCCAGAGAGGCCCTCGAACTCAGGAGCGGCGCTCTAGTTCGAGAAATTCTCGTAATTCAGTCAAGTTGGTGGAGGCCCAGCCACGACGACAAAGGCTCCCTTTCGATACCTCCTCAAGCTGTACTTCGAGACCCCCTGGCCAGAGACTGCAATTCAGTAGCGGCGCCGGAGGCCCACCTACGACGACAGGGGCTCCCGCTCGACACGCCCTCGCAATTTATTCTTGGACGCCCTGGCCAGAGAGGCCTCCGAACCACCGAGGCCCCAGCACGCTGCTCACTGAGGCCTTCGGACACAGCCCACAGAAGTTACAAGCGCGCCCACAGGGGCCCCAGCACGCTGCCCACTGAGGTCCTCGGACGCAGCCCACAGAGGCCCCCGCGCGCCCATAGAGGCTCCAGCACGCTGCCCACTGAGGCCCCCCGACGCAGCCCGCAGAGGAAGGGTCCCCCTGTGGAGGCTTCTTGGAGCGTCTTGGGGGCCTCTTAGCGGTCCCGGATGCCTCTTGGAGCGTCTTGGGTGCCTCGACGAGCTTCTTGGGGTCTCTTGGGGGTCTCTTGGGAGCCTCTTGGAGGTCTTTTGGGCGCCTCTTGGGGCCTCCTGGAGCCTCCTGGGCGCCTCTTGGGGCCCTCTTGAAGCGCTCTAGGGGGCCTTGGGAACGCTCTTGAGGCCATTTTGGAGTACATCGATCAAACAACAGGGGAGCTTTAATTAGCGGTGCCCCCCCGAAAGGCCCAAATGGGGCCAACATCTTAGTAAAACCCGTGATTTTGGCTTCCTCGCCGAGGCCGTTCAGGACGACCTGACACCTCGCGACCGGCCCCGTCCAGGTCCAGGGGACGGGGTAAACCCTTCCCCGAAGGGGAAGAGGGGCAAATGGAAGACAAAACGCCCTAGACCACCTACGCCCCAACGGGCTGGTGGGATTTCGGTTGTCTTTTGAAAAGGATTTCTTGGGCTCCTGTCCGGGATGCGCGCCCCTCTTGGCGGCTTCTGGGGGTAGTCGTTTTTTGTTGGTCCCTGTCTCATAGCTCCTGACGTGTCAGAAGCTTCTGCGGCCGTCTCTTGGGGTTCCCTCAGGCCGTTTTGGAGGCCCCTCGTGAGCACAAAGGGTCGTCGAGGGGATTCTGAATACAGTGAGCGTCTGTTGGACGCTTGTCGGACCTCGTGGGGGCCTCTGGAGGTGTTGTGGAAGCATCTTGAGACGTCGTGGGGTCTCTCTTGCCGTCTCGGGGACCTTGGAGGCCCTTCAGGCTGTTTTTTCCTCTAGGGGGCCTCCTGGGTCGTTGATCGGCCTCATGGACTCTTGTGGGCGCTTTTTGGGGGTCTCATGGTTTGTTTTGATGGCCTCTGGCGATGTCTCGAGGGCCTCTTGGAAACGTCGTGGGGCGTTTCGGAGGCATCGTGAGATCCTCCTGTGCCGTTTGGGGATCCAGTTGGGAGTAAGAGGATTGTGGAAGAAACAGTCGGTCATTGTGGACACTTCTTGGATGACTTGCATGGCAAGACAGACAATGGGTTTTGCGTGTCGCGTCTTCGGCCTTAGAGGCGAAAATGAAGCCTCGACACCGGATACCCGCCGAAGTTGGGGCCATGGAGTGGGGTAGCTTGGGGTTCAAAGGTTGCAAAGAGGAGCTTGAGGGCAGAACTCCAGTCCGCCTGCAGCCCACAGGGCCTGTGTGACCTACTTTCCGCTGCTTTGGTCCGCGGGGCCGGGGCCGCGATCCCAGATGAGAGAGTGAGAGAGAGAGAGAGAGCGAGAGAGAACGTCTGCCGAGTGCCACACTTAGCCTCAGGTCCACTGACGGCCTGAAGCGAAGTGGGAGCCCTACCAGCCGCGGCGGGACCGAGGAGTAATCACCATGGCCGATACCCGACCAGACACATCTAGCCACAACTTTTCCACAGCTCTGCCACCACACATGTCTCTAGCGCAGGTCTCCTGTTGGCGACCTTCGTCGCTACGTGCTACATGTCGAGCTTACTTTCCTTTCCGGCCCTGCCGTTGGCCCCACTTGGCGTCGAGTATGTTGATTCCATTCGGAATCTGGCGGTCTTGAGTGCAGGAGGCAAAGCAGGAGCAGCACCAGGAGCAGGCGGGACAGCAGGATCACCAGCAGCAGCAACAGGATGATGATGATGCTGATGATGATGATGATGATGATGATGATGATGATGATGATGATGATGATGATGATCATGATGGTGCTGCTGCTTCTGCTGCTGCTGCTGCTGCCGATGGTGATGGTGGTGATGATGATGATGATGATGATAATATTAATAATGATCATACTGCTGCTGCTGATGATGTGATACTGTCGTGCGTGATGAGCGTGAAGGCGATGACATGATACCGAGATCGCCCTGCCAGCCGAAGCCTTCAGGCGCCCGAAGCAGACGACGGCAAGCTGGAGCGCAGCATCTCGGAGACGTCCGCCACGGTTCGGGACGACGGTTCGCACAGCAGGTCGGCGTTGAGCCTCGGGATCGTTTTCTTCCCCCCTCTCGAGCCCTCTCGTCGTTGCCGTCTTCGGGGATGAGGAGGAGGACGAGTCGCCGTCGTCCGCTAGTCTGCCTTGCGCGAGACGGGCTCGCTGTGCCTTTCCTCCTCTGCTCTCATTGCTCCTTTCTTCCTCTTGCTTTCCTCCCTCGAGTTTCGCCTCCCTTCATCCTGGGTCGGCTTCGTGAAAGATGATGATGGTGATGATGATGATGATGATGATGGTCATGATGATGGTGTTGCCACTCCTGCTGCTACTACTGATAATGATGATGATAATGATGATGGTGATGATGGTGATGATGCTGATGATGGTAGTGATGATGATGACGATGATGGTGATGATGATTACGGTGATGATGCTGATGATGCTGATGCTGATGATGATGATGAAGGGGATACTAAAGACGATGACGACGCTGATAATGATGATTACGATTGTGATAATGATTCTGCTGACGATGACGATGACAATGATGATGCTGATGATGATGCTGATGATGTTGATGATGACGATGATGCTGATGATGATGATGGTGGCGGTGGTGGTGGTGGTGATGATGATGTTGATGATGCTGATGCTGATGATGATGAAGGGGATACTAAAGACGATGACGACGCTGATAATGATGATTACGATTATGATAATGATGCTGCTGACGATGACGATGACAATGATGATGCTGATTATGATGCTGATGATGTTGATGATGACGATGATGATGATGATGATGATCATGATGATGATGGTGGTGGTGGCGGTGGTGGTGGTGGTGATGTTGATGACGCTGATGCTGCTGCTGATGATGATCATGCAGATGATGGGGATAATGAGGGAGATGCTGATTCGGACGATGATGACGCTGATGATGATGATGATGACGATGATGATGAATCTGATGATGATGATGATGACGGTGGTGGTGGGGGTGATGATGATGACGACGACCATGATGATGCTGAGGACGATTGCGATGATGATGGTCATGAAGATGATGGTGGTGATACTGATTTTGATGATGATGATGATGATGATGATGATGATGATGATTCTTATGATGCTGCTGATGATGATTATGCTGATGCTGATGATGATGATGATGATGATGATGATGATGATGACGATGATGATCATGCTGATGCTGTTGACGACGATGATGACGATGAGGCTGATGATGCTGATGTTGACGCTGATGCTGATGCTGCTGCTGCTGCTAATGATGATGATGATGATGATGATGATGATGATGATGATGATGATGATGATGATGATGATGATGATGATGATGATGATGATGATGATGATGATGATGATGATGATGATGATGATGATGATGATGATGATGATGATGATGATGATGATGATGATGATGATGATGATGATGATGATGATGATGATGATGATGATTTTTGTGGCAAAGCTCCTGCGTATGCCACGGCCGAGGCTTGTTCAGCCGCCTGCTTGCTGCGCGACGCGACCTCACCGCTCACTGCGCGGTGGCGCCTTTCCCACGAGGGAAGAAAAGGCCTGCGGCACCCTAGTACAGAACGGGCAGAGGCCCCGGACAATGTGTTTGGACCCCGGGACCGAGAAAGGGGAGAGACGGACCGCCGATCCCGTTCCAAGGCGGCGAGTGCGAGGTGTGAGTTCCCGCACCGCCCTAGGGGAGGACACCGGACCTGGCAGCCACAAGGGAAGGATCGCCCGGGTGCGGGGGCTTGGATCCCGAAGGCCCAGTGCTCCCCGCCTGCACCATGGGGCTCTTTGGCCCGACACCCCGCTGATCGGGATGCCCCTCCGGGGCATGAGAACGATGTTGATGACGATGACGACCACGATGACGATAAGGATGATGATGATGATGATGATGATGATGATGATGATGATGATGATGATGATGATGATGATGATGATGATGGTGATGGTGATGGTGATGGTGATGATGATGATGATTATGATGATGATGACGATGTTGCTGCTTATGATGATGATGCAGACGATCATGGCGATGATAATGATGCTGCTGCTGATGGTGATGGTGGCGATGCTGATGACTGATGATAATGATGCTGGTGATAATGATGGTGCTGATGCTGCTGATGATGATAATGAGGGTGGTTGTTCTGCTTCAGCTGTCGCTGATGCTGATCCAGATGATGACGTTGATGCTGATGATGTTGATGACGACGATGGAGACGGTGATACATTTCTTGCATCATACAAAACGTATGTTTATGTAATGATGGTGGTGGTGGCTATGATGACGACGATGATCATGATGATGATCATGCTGCTGACGATGACGGTGGTGGTGATGATGGTGGTGGGGAAGAGGAGAACATGCGGATGATAGGGGGAAGGACCTGTGCAAACCCAAGACGCATCATCGCTTTTGCAAGTACCCCTTCCTTCAAGTTCCTTTTTTTCCACATGTCCTCACAAACATCAATTTGCATTATGGGAAGTGGCCGATGAGAAGACTACCTTCTGATGAACCCCAGTTGCGCCGAAACACCATCCCTGTGACCTCACCGCCGCGGGTCAACGTCACAGTTGCGTCCTGACAGTCCTAACTCGCGCCAGACCGCCATTCATGTGACTTCAGCTCCGCGAGTCAACGTGGCTACCGTGTCTTGACAGTCCTTCATATTGCTAGAGCACCTCTCCCATGCGAATCATTGAAGCCATGGTCAACTTTGAAGACGACGTACCCTGCGACGTATCCAACCTAGCAGGATGAAGTGACAAGGGGAGTTGGTCCAGAATCGTATTGTTGATGACAACGTGTGGTTTGTCATTAGTTACGCAATGTATTGCGCGACTCACAGGACAGCAGCAGAAAGACGAACACTGAGGCCCTTGGGTCGAAAATGCAATGGGGGAGGGTGGTGGGAACGAGGGGCAGGACAAGGATTGAAGAGGAGCCGAACAGTTAGGACGACAGCAACAGTGAAACGGTGAAAGGAGGAAAGGGACGATAACGAAATATGCACGATGAGGACGGAGGGTGTCAGTCCTTTTCCAGTGGCACTCTGGACGAGCAGCGCGGCCCGCACCATGCCGTTGTGGCGCTCCACAGGGCCAGCTGTTCATGGCTAGTGCAAGAAGCGAGCGACACAGAACTCGCCCGCCAGGTTCTCCGCCTCCTTCCTACACTTTGCATTGGGTGAGCTAAACGACCGCAGGCGCGCCGCAAGGTCTTCGGTTGGCCTGTGGGAAAAGAAAGTAATGGTAATCTGAGTCCGCGTAGGACGTCGCTTCCGCAGCCCCCAACGATTGTGAGCCCGCGTAGGGCGTCCTCATGCTGCCCCCCCCGCGAACATCGAAATTGGCGACCGTTTGGCGACGTAAAGGCTTTGGCGTATACGTGTCGGGTGCCGCGCGAACACGAAATATGAACAGTGTACGCATCCTTGGCGATCATGGCAGTGGGAGTAGGACGGGGGAGGTGGGGGAGGAGGATGACGTGGAAAAAATAGGAACAGGATGAGGAGGATGAAGATGAAAAGGAGGAGAGGGGAAGAGGAGGATGATGAGGATGAGGAGGAAGATGAGGAGGAGGAGGAGGAAGAGGAGGAGGAGGAGGAGGAGGAGGAAGAGGAGGAGGAGGAGGAGGAGGAGAGGAGGAGGAGGAGGAGGAGGAGGAGGAGGAAAAGGAGGAATAATAGGATGATGGGGAGGAGAAAGACGAGAGGACGGTGCTGGTGAGCAGAAAGCTGCGGCCCGCAGCGGTGACGACTTCCGTGACGGCCCGTCCCTGACGCCAGGCCGGTATCCTTTTCCTTTCACGTCGGACGCCCTCTCTTTGCTAGTGCCTTCGGATCCCGCCAGTTTTCCCTACCCACGCCAGACGCTAGACCCGTTCCCCCCCTCCCTGTCCTTCTTCCTCTTCCTCTTTTTCCTCCTACCCCTCCTGAGGGGGCGGAAGTTTGAGGGGGAGGGCAAATTGGGGAGGAGGGGGAGGAACAGGAGGAGGAGATGGAGCGGGAAGGTCTGGAGGAGGAGGAGGAGGAGGAGGAGGAGGAGGAGGCGGAGGAGGCGGAGGAGGAGGAGGAGGAGGAGGAGGAAGAAGTGGAGGCGGAGGAGGTTGGAGGCGGAATTCGAGGGAGGAGGACGAGGAGGAGGAATAGGAGGAAGAGGCGGCGGAGGAGGAGGAAGAGGAAGAGCAAGAGGAAGAGGAAGAGGATGATGATGATGATGATGATGATGATGATGATGATGATGATGATGATGATGATGATGATGATGATGATGATGATGATGATACTGATGATGATGATGATTCTGATGATGATGACGATGATGATGATGATGATGATGATGATGATGATGATGATGATGATGATGATAGTCATGATGATGATGATGATGATGATGATGATGATGATGATGATGATGATGATGATGATGATGATGATGGGGAGGATGAGGAGGAGGATGAGGACGAGGACGAGGAGTTGGAGTATGAGTCGGTGTCGGAGGAGGAGGAGGAGCAGGAGGCGGAGGAGGAGGAGAAGAATGAGGAGGAGGAGCAGGATGAGGAGGAAGGGGGAGGAGTAGGCGCAGGATGATGCACTTTGATGATGATGATGATGATGATGATGATGATGATGATGATGCTGATGCTGATGCTGATGCTGATGCTGATGCTGATGCTGATGCTGATGCTGATGCTGATGCTGATGCTGATGGTGTTGATGATGATGATGCTGCTGATGCTGCTGTTGTTGTCGATGATGCTGATGATGATGATGATGATGCTGATGATGATGATGATGATGATGATGATGATGATGATGATGATGAGGTTGAGGAGGAGGAGGGGCTGCTGAAGATGGTGGGATGAGAGGGACATCGGCGCCGATGACGAGGCTGACGGCGATGACCACGATGAGGCGCACGACGATGATGAGGTTGTTGAGGGAGATGATGCGGGAGGGGGCAGAGCGACCGTTATGAGGGGAAG